GAATCCTTGTCCTGGGATCCCCAATCGTCAGTATGGTATTGTTCTTCAGCGACCCACAAGTGTCAGTTAATCATTGTCCAGAGAGCCCCAAGTGTTAGTGTGTCATTGTACTGGGACCCCTTCTTCCAGTGCAAGTGACACATTGTTCTGGGACCCCCAAGTGTTCGTGCATTTGTTCCAGATCCCTCAAGTGTCAGTGTGTCATTGTACTAGGATCCCCAAATGTAAGTGTGCCATTGTTCTGGGACCCCAAGTATCAGTGCATCATTAATAAAAATACAGTATAAATCATAAATGTAATGCTTAAAGTGGAGCTCCACCCAAAAGGGGATGTTCCACTTTAAGCCTTTGTCCCCTGCTCCCCGTTCAGGATTGGCACCTTTGGGGAGCAGGTACCCAAATTTCACTGGTACGTGCTCCCACTTTCACTGCGATCGCCTAAGGTGATCGGAAGCGGACATTGTGCTCCCCCCTCCCTCCCCGTAGTCTTCTGGGACAGGTGACAGAAGACTACAGGACCATTCACAAAGTGCAAGTGAAGATGCCAACGCCGGGGAGAGAAGACAGCCGGTGAAACCAGCAGTGGTGAGGAAACCGCTGGACCGACGGACAGGTAAGCGCCTGTATTTTAAGAGTCTGCAGCTACAGTTTTTGTAGCTTCTGACTTTTATTTTTTGTTATTCAACTGGAACTCCGCTTTAATGCAAGTAAAAACAAAACACCCCTCCACTAATAGTGCCATAGAGTGCTTATGCCAAAAAAGGGCTCTAGAGAATATATTTTGTTTATTTATTAATTTATTTTTGCAAAACCACTATATGTCACTATTGGTGGATGGGGTATTTTAACTTGCTTTAAAGGAAAAGTTTGGGGTAGATAGAAAAAAAAAAACAAACATACATACTAACTGCCGTGCTGCGTACGTGTGTTGCTGCAGTTGTCCCCCACCAGCTCTAAGCCCAAGAACTGAGCTATCACATGACTGCTAATCACTCTTCAATCAGCTCTGAACTGAGAGTGGAGACTGTTATTCATAACTCACTGCTTTGCCGTCCAGCATACATTGGAGCACTGGGCTGGTGAGAGGGCGAAAGCAGCTGGCTCCTGCTCTCAGCCTCATGCTGAGAGCTGGAGCCAGCTGTCAATCAGGCAGCTGGGCAGATACTGACAATATGGTTGGGATCCTTCCAGAGCCTTGAGAGGCTCTGTGAGGTCAGCAGTGATCTTGGCTGATTCTGGGTTACAGGAGTGCATAAGTAAGTAAACGCCTGTGACCTAGAAGAGAAGTATAACCAAAAAAATCCTGCCGAAACTTCAACCATTTGCCAACTTGCTCACAGTAAATATACTGTGAGTGGGCAGCAGGTGCAGGCAAGGCAATGTACATCCCTACATTTATTCATTTATGCGCGTGCTCCCTGCTGTGACTGGACACAGCATGAGTTTGTCAACAGATCTGTATTTACAAATAAACAGAACTCTGTATAGACAGAACAGGAATATGGCTGTTTCTTCTTAAAAAGCAAGGAGAAAAAAAAAAAGGCAGATCTGTTAGTAAAAGCAGCACAAATTACACTTGTCAGGCATACAGTTAACCCCTTGATTTCCCTTTGATGTTAAAGCATTACTAGAGCCACAACAGTAAAATCAGTCTGTATATGCAGTAAAGCGTGCTGGTTATACTCATTGTGGAACTGAAGGGGTTAATACTCTGCACTGTGTAAAAAGGAAGTTTGCTACTGTCTTCTTAGATCCTCATCTTCTTCCACAGTCCCCAATCCATCTGCTGATAGCACAGGGCTTTGCGGGCAAACTTCACATGCTCAGTTTGGTGTGTATTGCTAGAGGGGGTTTTTTTTTTTTTCTCCTTGGGAGAGTGCATGTGATCGGCACAGGACTAATCAGCACTGTCCAGACAGATGGTCAGGGGTCCTGCAGCCTCATAGAACAATCAGAAGAGAATGAAAACTCCTCCTACAAGCTGTAACCATTGCACTGCTCGATACTGATAGAAGTCACAAGACTGCTCTAACTGGTAATGCGAAAAGGTATTTAGCAGTTTAGATTTACTAAAACAATTTTATTTCCATGTTCTGTGTACTGTGGGAGACCAGATATAGTGAATGCAGGGTCATGGGTTTAGTAAACCTTTAACCCCTTCCCAGCCAATAACATTAGTACAGTGTAGCGTACTATACATAATCACTGTATTAGTGTCACTAGTGATGTCAGTGTCAGTTAGTGTCTCTCCATGCCAGTGTCTGTTAGGGCCACATCGTGCCACACTATTGCTGTCCCCCTATAAGTCACTGATCATCGCCATTACCAGTATAACATCTATAGCTACGTTAAATTCAAGTATATATACCATAGTTTGCAGATGCTATTACTTTCACACAAAACAATTATTATATACTTCTTGGGATTTTTTTTAACCAAAGACATGTAAAATACTACATTTTGGAGTAAATGTATGAAGAAATTAAAAATTTTTTATTGAATATGTTTTGCAATAAAATATGTTTATAACAAAAAAAAAAAAAGAAAATATTAGGTTTTCGTTTTTCAACATGTTCAGTATGTTTTTGATCATATAATAGAAAATAAAAAACCCAATGGTGAACAAAAACCCCCAAAAGAAATCCCCGCTGGTGTGAAAAAAAATGATATAAATTTAATTTATGTAGTGTTGCATGACCGAGCAATTGCCAGTTAAAATAGCACAGTGCTGAATAGTAAAAAATGCCCTGGTCATGAAGGGGGTAAAACCTTCCGGTGGTCAAGTGGATAAGAACTACATTTATGGACTATATTTTTTTTATTTACAATCGTATGAAGAGGGCTTGATACCGTTTAAAGCTGTTCTAAAGTCTTAAGGTTTTTTATCCTAATGCATTCTATGCATTAAATTAAAAAAACCTTGCAGTATCAGCTCAACCTTGCGCCCACCCAAATACTTACCTTACCCTGTTTTTTAACCAGAGCTATGCCCAAGAGTAGCATCAATGCTCTCGCTCTCCTCACAGAATTCAGAGACAGCAGTGGGAGCCATTGATCCTGTTGCTGTCAATCAAATCCTGTGAAAAGGGAGCGGGGAAGCATGGCTGAGCCTCACTGATTGTGTCTAAGAACACACAAAGCCCGGAACAGGAACATACCTGCAAGTCTCTACCACTACACAGTGATGGCAGAGGGCAATGCCACCATTCATGGAACACCGTGTATTTTTTTTTCAATTAATACAAAGCGTTCTTTGATTGAATGAAGGGGAGAAGAGGGGCAGTGACATTAGGATCACTAACAAAAAAAATACAAGGCATTCTATAAATGATGACAGTGCCAAGAGAGGGACCCCCTGTGGTCACTGTACAGAAGGTAAACTGTTTGCATAAAACCTGAGCAGGACACAGAGGACCACAGTTATCCCTGTAGTAGGGCTGTGTACTACAGTGATTTCCAGCTCACCAGTGACCAGATATGAGATATGCATACCTTCATTGTGTCAAGCTGGACCAATGTAAGTATGCAAAAGAGATCATACCTGCAGGTCAGCTATAATATAGCAGCTGGGGTTAGATATATGTTTATTATTGTTTGAGTTGTGTATCATTGATTTAAGTGGGCAATACAAATTGATCAGCTATAACATTATGATAACATATAATATTGCTGCTAAAACAGCCCCTTTTTCTGCCAAAACAACCCTGACCGATGGCAGCATGCATGCCTATAGACCTCTGAAGACATGCTTTGGTATCTGGCACCAAGCCATCAATAGCAAATCCTTGAAGTCATGCAAGTTGCCAGGTGGGGCCTCCATGGATTGGACTTGTTTTTCCAGCACATCCCACACATGCTTAATGGATTGCGCTCTGGAGAATTTGGAGGCCAAGTCCTCAAACTATTCTTGACCATTTTTGCAGTGTGACAGGATGCATCAACATGCTGAAAGAGACCAATGCTATCAGGGAATACATTTCCATGAAGGGGTGTATATGGTTAGCAACAATGTTTAGGTAGGTGTTACGTGTCAAGTAACATCCAAATGAATGGCAGGACCCAAGGATTCCCAGCAGAACATTGCCCAAAGCATCACACTACCTCAGCCAGCTTACCTTGTTCCCACACTGCATCTTGGTGCAAACTCTTCCCCAGATAAGAGACACACTTGCACCCAACCATCCACATGATTTAAAAGAAAATATGATTCATTAGACCAGGCCTTCTTCCACTGCTCCATGGTCCAGTTCTGATGCTCACGTGCCCTATGTAGGTGCTTCTGGCTGTGGACACCCTTGACCAATCTGCAACTATGCAGCCCCATACACAACAAATTGCAATGCCAATTTTTTCTGCTTTCAACACATCAGCTTCAAACAACATGTTTATTTGCTGCCTAATATATCCCACCAACTTTCAGATGCCATTGAAAAGGGATAATCAAGGGTATTCAATTTACCTGTCAGTGATCTTAATGTTATGGCTGATCGGTGTATATGATGCAAACAGCTTTATATTATTATTTATTATTATTATATTAGTACTTATCAGTATGTCTTTGTTCTTAGACCCCCCAAGTGCCAGTGATTAATTTTTTTGGGACCCTCCCTTCTATTGTTCTGGAAATCCCCAATGCCAGGGGGTCATTGTTCTCAAGTGTCAGGGTGTAGTTATATTGGGCTTCCAAAGTATCAGTGGGTCATATTTTGGAACCCCTAACTGACAGTGTAGTACTGGTCTGGGACTTCCAAGTAGAGTGTGATTGGTCTGGCACCCTAAAGCTGACACCACACATTACAATATGTTCATTTAATCTGTGTACAATCTTCTTTTGATTTACCAAAGCTATCTACTGTTATTGATAGGGCCTACCTAAAAAACAATTTACTGAATTTATATGTTTTAAGGTAGGACTGCAAACTACATAATTGTTGGTAAATCCAAATATGATTTTGTTGTTTTTTTTTTGTTCTGTTTTATTAAGGTTTTAACAACAAGCGTTATTGTGAATGTGTCAGTTTCTGGGACCCCCCTTCTCTTACCTCACAGGAAATCTCCATATGTTTTCTGGCATATCGCAGGGCCTCTTCATGGTTACCCAATGCCACATAGGCATTCCCTAGACTCCACGATGCCCGTCCTTCACCAACCCTACAAATAAAAGAAGAGAGTAAAGCCAGCATGTTTTTCTTGCATGTTGGCGAATCACGTGGTTTTTTCATGCCTAAATGGCATTCACAGACTTCTCTTGCTATCTGTACAATCATGAGTACTTTTATAAATATATAATGTTCTCCACGATGCAGAGCAATCCCATCAAATAACATGACAGTCCTTAATTCAAAACAATATAATAGCCCTTCAGTATCCAATAAAACTGTATTTCATCCGCCACCGTGATGTGATTTGTGATAGTGTTATTGTGGTCCCATTCTATTTTTGCATGTGATGTTTCCGGGGTGTTGAATACTGAGCAGGAAGGAATGAGAGGAATAGCTGATGCCACATATGCCCAAGGTCGGGCAACAAGTGTGTTTTCATCTTGATCTGTATTGAGGTCCATTGCACAAGGTGCACAAGGTGAGCGCATATTATCACTGGGTGCTTGCATATGTCACAGAGCTTAAGAAAAGAGGAAAGAATAGACAAATCACATCACAGTCCTGCAGGACATACAGCTTTATTGGATACTGATGGACTAATATATTGTTTTGAATTAAGGACTGTCATATTATTTGATGGGACTGTGCTGCATCGTGGAAGATGTTATACATTTTGTTGAAGTGTAGTGAAAAGCACTAGTTGATGTGTCAGCAGGAATCACTTTTTATAGTTATATTTTATTTTTCATGCATTTATGAACTTTTATTATTAACTGTGCAGATTGTTTCGACTTTTTTTTTTTCTACTTTTATAAATAGTTTGAGAAAATTAGAAACATTTAATCACATCTTTACTATTTTCAGCCCTCTGATATATTTTTGTGCTAGCAGACATTTCATAGATCTGTGCGGATACCAGGACATGAACACATATTTATGTCTAAATCTCAGAATTGGTAGTGATGGCATAGCTTGCAGTACCGCAGGAAGGTTAGAGACTGCTGTGACATGAGGGTTACATTGACGCATGTACAGTTATCTCTTATGTTTGGCACCCCTGGAGGCAAAGCCAAGAGCCCTTTCTGTTCAGTGTTCGAAGATGAGCCCTAGCAGCTTTGACTTGTATAACCTTCTATTGTACTGCCACCACTGCAATGAGCATATGAAGCAAGAGACATGTGGATGTTTGTGTTAGACATCTTCTAGGTCATTGCAAATTACTAAATACAAGTCTGATATTTAACCAAAAATATAAGCTTATAAAAAACTACAGACTACTACAGAGAGCTAATCAAGTAAACAAGGTGCAATAAAAAATATAGACAGATTCTCTTTTTTTTTTGCAGCAATGAAATTAGGGATCAGCTATGCTTCATTCTATGGGCAGGTTACTTGGCTTACACTGTCCAGTAGGTCTGCATCCTAGATAATAAAAGGGATACTATGAGTATTAGTTTTTCTAATTGTACGTATGTTTTGATTTTTTTTTTTTTTTTTACTTTTAGAGCAGAGATTGGTTAGTATGTCTCATTGGGGAGATTTCCCCTCACCTCCTGTCCTGGAGACACAATAAGTGAGTGGAAATCCACTTTTAGAACAGGTGTCCAGATTGGAACATTTCACCTCACCTGTTCTGAAGACAACTGTAAAATGTTGGATTTCTCATCTTTTTGTGTCCTAATAACAATAGTAACAATGTGGGACACACACACACACACGCACGCACGCACGCACGCACGCACACACACATAAAAGGGTTTAGTCCTAGGTATACTTCAGTTATAGTCAGATTTCCCACTTTTGTAATCCCCTTTGAATAGGAACCCTGGAGCCTAAGAAATCCTGGGATTATAAATTAGGGAGTTTTCAGTGTTCAGAAACAATGAGTCAAAAATAGAGCACAAAGGAAGCAGAATTCCCAGTGTAGGGTTTGAACACATATCCATACTGGCCCTGTGCATCTGGCACTGCTTGTGTCTTAAAGCTGAAGACTAAAGCAGAAATTTCAGAGCTACTTGGGAGTTGCTGGTCTAGGCACTCTTCATCAGCGCTATCAGATATTCTAAGATACTTTTGCATTCTGACTTTTTCATTACAGCATTAAAATACTTTAAAATTTCACAGCTTTAGTTTTCTTTACTTTTTGTTGCTTCCATATGAAATAGTCTAATTCTTGAAAAAGGCAGTTGCTAGTGAAGTGGCATTTATATTTTGCATTCCAAAAACCATATGCCACCTGTTGCTCTGAAAAAACTTATCAGCACCACAGTTGTACTTACTGTTCAGCTTTGGAGGAAGCATGAATCTAAATCCTCATTTTTTTTTTTTTTACAGGGGCTAGGCAAAAACTGTTCACCTGACTCCATCTGGCGCCTCAGGGTGAAAGGGTGCCTCTTCAAAAAAGCAGATAGGTCTAGTGACAACTGTGAAGCCATCATGGGGCAAAATCCACTGTGCTTAAGTAAAACTGAGGCAAATGGTACTGGGCAGCTTATAGCTGCAGCTTGTCTCGGCTCGCAGCACTTTCCCATAACAAGCAATGGCAAGAGGAATGCAGAGGGAGGGGAACATGCCAGCCACTGCAATCTTCTTGCCATTGCTTTTCTTGGGAAAGTGCTCACAGCAAAGACAAGCTGCAACTATGAATAATTCATCTACTTAATACCTGTTGTTGGCTCGGCCTTGGAAGGAGAGTGAGGAGGCAGGTGGAACCCTATAATTAGGAAACACAAAGTGCTAAGGAAGCACTTAGAAACACAGGACAAAATGAATTTCCATCACCATGGTTATTTACACTGTATTAATAAGAATGGCTGAATATAGTATGTCTTGGACTCCAACACTGTGCTCTGTCCAGTTACAGAACTCCTTCTTGTGGAGACCACTTACTTTATATCTGTATTGTCAGGACCAATAAACTATGCAATAAAGCTTTAGCTTTAAGCGAAGTGTTAGGCTTTTATTGCCCATTATAATTTCACCAAATTTCCTCCCCCTGTGACAGGAGGACAAGGAATAGATAAAGCGGATGTCCTGACAGATAACGAAGGTAAACCTCCCCAGTAAGGAACAAAAACCACAAATAAAAATTTGACAGTCCAAAACCAACAACAAAAAAAGTTTTGGTTAAAGTCTGTGGTGAGCATCTTCCACTCATACATGGTGGGGCAGCATATGCAAAATTAGACATTAACTGCATCAATTAATGATTCTGATTTACTATCTAAGCATACAGTGCAGAATGAGATATTCATATTTTGTCTGAAATTGCAATCCTGTATCCCCACTGATTTACAAGCCTCCAGGGCAGTGAGGTAGCTGTAATGAAAAAGGAGAAGGACTGTACCCTAGTTGAAATCTGCAAATTACTGAAAATATTCCTGTTGTATATTTTCTTTTTAAAAAAAAAATTTAAGAAGTGATATAATTCCCTGAGTGATGAATCATAGGTACAATAATCATTACTCAAAACATAGTCAAACTACTCGCCAATCACATTATATCAAAAAAAGAAAATGAAGAAAAAGAAAGGTATTATAGAATATATACTCCTCAGTGTAGAAAATGCGACACCACACTTAGTCTGGTAGTAAAGGAATGACAAAGAGTTGTATGTTCCCTGTCACCCAAGAAACCTAACAACCTAATAAAAGGGGACATAAGCCTGGTGTGTCTGTCCACGGAGACCATTACTTCTCGAATTTTCCGGCACACCCTCTATGTGGATATATATTTATTGTTCAAAATCTAAGCGTCCCTCTCATTTTATGTATCTATTCTGCTAGAGTGGGAGGTTCTGCAAATTTCCACAGCAGCAAAATCAATCTGCGGGCCTGAAACAAAGCCCTGGCTATAGCTTCCTTACATTGATCTTGGACTGGAAGGTTGCTGAGAATGCCCAGCAAGCACTGCTTGGGGTCCTCTCCCACAGTGCTTTGAAAAAAATTAGAGTAGTAATGATCCCCTGCCAATAAATAGGTAATTTAGAGCAGTGCCACATTATATGGATCAGGTCTCCATGGTCTTTTTTTTTTACATCTGGTGCACATTGATTCAGGTAATACTCCCAATTCATATAGATTCAAGGGTGCATAATAGACTCGTAAGAGGATATACAGTGCTCAGCATGAATGAGCAAACCCCAACAGATTTGTCAGAAAACCTTTCCTTTCCTTTCAGAATCAACATTTTCTATGGGACACTATTCTGCAAAATACAAATACAAAAAAGCGGGCCATTGATTGTAAATAAGATTTGTTAGTTTGCACACACAAAAAAGTATTTTTCTTAAATTCATTCAAGACCATGTTGCAAAAATGAATACACCTCAATGAAAGTCTTAGGAGCACGGCTAAATTTTAGACAACAAAATTAGCAAGAATTCAACTGCAGGTGAGACTAATTATTCATTAAACAGGTGTGCAGCAAACAGTTGATTATAAAAGGGCGTTACTTAACAAAGATAACCCTTTCCCATTTCATGCTGTCAGCAATGGCACCACATGGAAGAGAAATGTCACAAGGCCTGAGAAATAAAATAATTTCTTTACACAAGAAAGGTGAAGGCCACAAGAAGATCAGCAAAGCTTTACTTATCAGTCAGAATACTGTAGCAAACGTGATACAAAAATTGAATGGAACTGCAACCATATCAGAGATGTCCAGGCCATTCCCGAAAGTTAACACCTCGACAGGAGCATCTTCTGATGAGAAGGGTTGAAGAAAATCACCATGCAAGTTCACTGAAGTTAGCTAAAGAAGTAGAAAGCCAAACTGGGGTGATTGTTTCCTATGACACAATACGGCATACACTGCAGAGGAATGGCATGCATGAGTGTCGGCCACAAAGGAAGCTTCTCCTAAAGCCCATGCACAAAAAAGTCGGCCTAGAATTTGTCAGGGCCCATGCTGAAAAAGAAGACGACTACTGGGACTCTGTACTCTGGTGTGATGAGACCAAGTTAAATGTGTTTGGAACTGATGGCTTCAAAACTGTATGGCGTCACAAAGGTGAGGAGTACAAAGAAAAATGCATGGTGCCTACAAGTGAAACATGGTGGTGGCAGTGTCCTTCTGTGCGGCTGCATGAGTGCTGCTGGTGTCGGGGAGCTGCAATTCATTGATGGTATCATGAATTCACAGATGTACTGCTCCATATTGACAGAGATGTTGCTACCATCACTCCATGCCCTTGGTCGGCGTGTACTTTTCCAAAGTGACAATGATCCAAAACACACATCTAAAGCCACTGTTGCATTTCTGAAGAACAGGGTGAAAGTGATTCAGTGGGCCAAGTATGTCTCCTGATCTGAACCCAATCGAACACCTATGGGGAGTTCTGAAGTTTAAAGTTGAGCATTATTCTCCATCCAGCATCCAGGCTCCAAAAGAGGTAGTTTTTGAAAAATGGAAAAAGATAGATGTTTCAATATGTCGCCAACTTGTTTATACCATTCCTAGAAGACTTGGTGCTGTCCTTACAAATCATGGAGTTCATACAAAATACTAGATGTAGTAGTTTTTGTTGTGGGGTGTATTCATTTTTGCATCAACTAAATTTTATAAAACTGAAGATTTTGTAATTGAAGTTATATTATTAACTTTATTTTTATGTATTGAGCTAAACAAATGTTCTATAAAACTCAGTTTTGTCAAAATTTTGGAAATTGTTTTTGCGTTCATTGAGATATTGATTAAAATCTTACTTTTCAAAAGGGGTGTACTCACTTATGCCGAGCACTGTACAATTAGGATAACTTTTGTTTTACGTTAAGAAAAGAGAAAACAGCCTGCATAGCACAGCTTCCCACTGCTTCTCCTCAAATGCGCCAACATCCTTTTCCGGGAGGGTCTCAAAAATAGAGGGGTAGCTTGTTAGATAGGGGATAACAACATTGCATAGCATCTGGAACCCCCCAGGGTGGGCCTGTAGTTTTGCATTAGATTAAAAAGGCTGGTGAAGGTTGCATCTTAGCTGTTGCACAGTGTGCACTGCCTGTATGTTTTAATTGCAAATAATAAAAATACATAGACTAGGGTAGTTGAAAACTAGCTTGAAGGTCAGCAAAGGTTCTTAAGGAGCCATTTTCAAATACATATCTTAGGTTAGTAACGCCAAATCTTATTCACCTACTCCTATTATACATTTTCTAATGAATCATAGCAAACACTGCAATGAGTTAAAAATTAAGTACAGCTTACACATAAGTAACTAAGGTAGGATATAGGAAATGTGCAGTATCTTACCTGTCACCCAGCTCCTGCGCTATGGAAAGGTGTTTCAGGTGGTATTCTATTGCCCGTTCATAGTCCTGGAGCAAAGTATATGTGTTCCCCAGACTATAACAGGCCTGAGCCTCTACCGCCTGGTCTTTCAGCTGTCTAGAGAGCTGCAATGTCTTCCTGAAAAACAAGACAGACACAGGTCAGTAAGTTAAGGTTATGCTCCTTCTACCAACATCTGGGAGAACAGGAAAAAAATATAAGCAGCACTTCTGTATAATATTATATGATCAGATTCAACATCACTAGTATCTTCACAGCTGTTTACTAACCCTTATTTGTCATTAAATTCATTAAGGGGAATTTATCAAAACTGAAGCTGCCACAATCTGGAGCAGCTGTGCATGGCAACCAATAAGCTTCCATCTTTCATTTTTGAAGCATAACTGAACAAGCTAAAGATAGTAGCTGATTGGCTACTATGCATAGCTGCTTTAGTTTTGATAAATTTCCCTCACTGTGTTTCCCCTTATGTTATGTTTTCCTCATCTTTCACAAAAATATGTGGAAAGAATAAAAGTCTCTATCCTTCTTTCTAGTGTATTTAATACTGTAAGACACGGCAAATATCTAGAAATAGCATTAACTCCTTCCCGCCGACCCTATGCATATATGCTGCCTCACGGAAGTGGGCCTTTATCCATGGGGCTGCATATATGCACTCCTTTCTTTCTGATGGCAGTACGACACATGGCGCATTTCCAGCACAGAGACCAGGCTCTCACTGAGAGCCCCAGGTATCCAAGTTCTAGCCCAACTGATTTCTGTGATAGCCCGCCCATGCACAGTCACTGTGCAGCCCACGCATGTGTTTACTTCTTTTTTTGAATGAAAAGAAAGATACATTGAGGTTGATTTTCTACAACTGGAGAGTGCAAAATTTGGTGCATCTATGCATGGTAGCCAATCAGCTTCAGTTTTATTCAATTAAGCTTTGACATAAAAACCTGGAAGGTTTCTATGTAGAGCTGCACCAGATTTTGCACTTACCACTTTTAATATATCAGCCCCATTCTATATTTCTCTCCTTGCAGGAGAGGAATATGCAAACAAACAAAAGAGTGTATATATAAAAAAAAATGAAAAAAATAGCTAATACAAGGTTTGATCTAGGTCAGTGTCAGGATTAGTATTAGGGTCAAGGTAATGGTCAAAGGTCAAGTCAGTATATTTTGAGTAGGATTTTTTTTTTTTTACTTAGTATCATTGCCAGAATGTTTTAGGTAGGCTAAAAAAAAATGTGCACCATTGTTTCTGGGCCCTACTACAGGAAAAAACAAATAACATACACATATATGATATTGCTGCGATTGATACTGCTGCAATCGATAGAAGCAGGAGAATTTATTTTGGCTTGTTCTTTGTTGGTAAATTATGGTAAATAAGAAAAATTACTATTTTACTAATTTGGGCCTGTTTTCATGTGATAAAATAAAAAAATCAGGAGATATTCATTACCACCAAAAGAAAGCCTAATGTGTCCTAGAAGAAGGCATAATCCACCTGGATACACAAATTAGTTGCGATGATATGTATAGTTTTACTAACACAAGTCAAAGTTGCAAAATTGTGCTCAGGCATTAACATTAGTTTTACCCTCAGTCACTAAGGGGTTAATGACAAATTCTGCTCTAAGTAAACTGTAAGCCTCTTTAACCACTAGACCTCCAGAAGATTTTACCTTCTTCATGACCAGTGCATTTTTTGCTATTCAGCACTGTATGACTTTACCTGGCAATTGTTTGGTCATGCAACACTATGTAAATTAAATTTATATCTTTTTGTTCCTACAAATAGAGCTTTTTTGCTGGTATTTGAGCATAACTAAGTTTTTTCTTTTTTATATATGAATGCAAAAAGACCAAAAATTTTGAACAAAAAATATATTTTCTACTTTCTATTATAAAACATCCAATAAAAAAAAAAAAAAGAATTTCTTCATACATTTACAAACATTCCAATAAGTGTATAATGATTGTGTGAAAGTTATAGCGTGTACAAATTATGGTATATACTGGTATACTGGAATTTATGTAGCTATGACTCCATACTGGTAATGATCAGTGACTTATAGTGTAACTGTGATAGTGTGCCAGAGAATCTGGCCCTAATAGACACTGACATGGAGGGACACTAACTGACACGGACGTTGCTAGCGACACGAATACAGTGATCAGTGATAATACTGCACACATGACGCTGGCTGGGAAGGGGTTAACATCCAGGGGCAATCAAGGGGTTAACTGTGTGCCTAATGAGTTTAATGTGTGCTGCTTTGACTTCCTTTTTTTCCTGTTTTATAAGGAACAGCAGGATGTTCTTTGTACACAGAGTTCTGTGTGTTTGCAAACACAGAACTCCGTGCTGTGATTGGACACAGCCGATCAGCAGATTTCAGTCGAAATCACTGAATGAAATCTGCTGCCAAACTCATGCTGTGTCTAAATCACAGCATGGGTTGGCAGGGAGTCACGCACACATGCCCCAAACCCGGAAGAAAGCTGGCAATGACAAGTATAGTATGTTGTGTGCACCTGCCACCAGCTTGCAGTACATTTTCTGTGAGTGGTTAGCAGATGGTTAAAGCATAACTAAACCTTCCTATTCTTTTCAGCCAAGAAAGCTACCATCTAAGTCTCTGTTTGATCTGCCATAATGCTGCACATGTGATCAGTTATGACACCGGTTATTTGATGGTTTACAATTTTGGTTGCTAGCACAAGCAAATGTGACAATTAGCATGCCAGAAATTTAAAGTGGTTGCAAACCCTTGCATATACCCAGTGAAGTGACTGGCCTTACACACTGAAATTGCACACTGCGGAGCTCAGTAAGGAGAGCTCTGAGAGATGTTCATAGGGAAGGGACACACTCCCTTCACACAGCACACAGAAACATAGCTGAGGCTGTTAATCACAGGCTGTGTGCTGGAGATCCCTCCCCTATTACTTTTTTTTCTTGTCCTAAGAAAGACGTGTCAGAAGTGAGTTATGCAGATAGCAGAAGAACAGGGCAGCAGAAAGAAATGATACTTCGTGCTCTGGATAGAGAAAAGTACACACTATAGAGGGATAGGCTTTGTTCATATTTAATGTCTGAGGTTTACAACCATTTTAACTGTTTTCTGAAACTATTGAATCAATGAGATTAGTTCCGCTTTAATTCAGGAACTGGAAAGACAGATATTTCACTTCATCAAATATTTCCTTTTGAGATAATGTGTCACTAGAGAAATACACAGGCCACCATTGAGGACCTGTTCTTAGGAAAAAGCTAGCTGCTTGGCAATCATGAGGACTCTGGTTTCAATACTTACTGATACTTCAATACTTTCTCATCTACAAACGTGTTTGAGTGACAACTTAGACAGTATTGAAGCCAAAGGGTCAGCATAACAGCTAGTCAACCAGCAACTTTATAAGAAGGGACACATTTGGAGCCCATTATCTCTCTTTCATGATGTGATATACAAATTCTACAGTACAAACTACTGGTCACTAGATGGCGCATGAACACCACATTTTTTAATTGGCTCAGGTCATACATATTTTTATGTTTGCTATTTTCTCCGCAAAAATATGGTTGGCTATATTCATTCTGACCAAACTGGCCCTAGTGTGTTACTAAAAAGGAAAGTATAGTAAAAGTTTGTTTGAAAAGAAGGATTGGTATAAAGGATTTATATACTCTAGTGCTCTATGGAACTTGTTGGCACTATGTAAATTAATAAGATTTAAGAAATGTACTGTAAAAAATAAAGTAGGGTATAAACGCCTAGTGCATTACAACCACCAACATTTAATGGATCCAAAAGACAAAAACATACAAGCATAAAAAGGAACAGACGTATCAAACACAAGCCGTAGGTGAAGTCATCTGACCATGTGTATCAAATTTGGAAGGCCAACACATTGCGAACAACTTGCCCCTCTTTTCAGATGGCAAAGCTATTGGCTGGAGATGTGTTTAATACACCTGTTCTTTTTTCTGTTTGTGAGTATGTTTTTGTCATTTAGATCCAGTAAACGTGGCGGTAATGCACTAGGCGATTGCGCCCTCCTGTGTGTTTTTACTGATCTTTTGGAGATTTAGCGGTCTGAGGAGGACTGCATCAAATGAAGCATTACAGGTTGTGACACCATTGGATGGGCAGCACAGTGGCTAAATGGTTAGCACTTCCACCTGGCAGTACTAGGATCATTGGTTTGGTTAGCACTGCCGCCTGGCAGTACTAGGGTCATTGGTTCGAAAGCCAACCATGGCACCACCTGCCAGGAGTTTGCATGTTCTCCCCTGTGCCTGCCTGGGTGTCCTGGGGGTACTCTGGTTTCCTCCCACACTCCAAAGACAAGCTGGTAGGTTAATTGGATCCTGTCTAAATTGGCCCTAGTATGTAAGAATGTAAGTTAGGAACCTTAGATTGTACGCCCCTTGAGGGCAGGGACTGATGTGAATATACAATATATATGCAAAGCGCTGCGTAACTGATGGCGCTATATAGTACCTGTAATAAATAAAAATAAATAAATGTATAATGCGCTGGAGTGTTAGAACTTTTCTGTGGACATGAAATGTACTGTGTTGTAGTCACCCCTCCCAGATCCTTTTTCTGAAACTGAGGCACCCACCTAGAGAGGAAGGAACATAAGATGCAGACAGCTCAGGTTCACTTACTTGTAATAGTCAGCAGAGGCATCAAACATCCCTAGGAAGATGTGAGCATTGCCCAGGTTGCTGTATGCCCTACGCTCTGCAGCTTTGTCTCCAAACTCTTTCGCAATGGCAAGTCTCTAGAAAGAACAGGAAGTGTTACTGTCAAATGTAACAGATGGGAAGTGCAATTTTCTCAGGAGTTCTAATTCCCTAGATTCCACCCAAAACTAGTTTTAAACCTTAAAGCATCAGCTTCAAAAGTATGCAGATGGAGGCAATAATTTAGTAAAGTAGGATTTCTTTTGGAAGAAAGTGGAAGGGGGGGGGGGCAGGTTACTATAGCTGAAGTCAGTCCAGCATTGGACAATTATAAAGAATATCATCTATTTGAAATATGAGGTACTAAATGAGACACCAATATTTGTGACAAGGGACAAGTATGTTGAGCATACAATTTTACAATATAAATGCAGGACATTTGGAATACCACTATAATAAACATTTCATTTTAATTGTAAAGCTAACCAGTGGGTAATATTAAGAGCATATTAATAGACACAAAAAAACAAGAAGAAACAGTTGTCTGTTAAGATACAACTTCTGTGTTCATTATTTCTGGACAGAATGTACAGCAATGTGTAAATGCCATTAGCAGAAGCATAGGGTTAATGATGGCATGGCTAAGTCTAGCCAGCGCTCATAGGCAGACTATTAACCCCAAATTATGCTGCGTACTCATTCCCCTGGTGCAGTCACAAATATCTTCTGCTTGTTGTGTCACTGTCTGTCATGATGCTACTTGCTTCAGAAAAGTATTGAGTCTTGCATATAAATCAGAGCTGCTGACAGGTGAGGGTACACTTACAAGAGGGAAGGTATGCTGACTTGTGAGAAACGATAGAGGCGAGTGGGACTGACACGTGAGAGGGTACGAATGACTAGAGGGCGAGGACAGATTGAGGAACACAAGTCAAATGCATGTCAGCAAACACCACTAACTTTATTTAAACAATACACATGACAGTTCAGAGGCTGCGTTTGATCTGCTTTGCATTGTCCTGTGTTTTTCTGGATAAAAGGAGCACCTGTATTTCAGGGAAAACATGTCAAACACAACCTTTCCTTGTCAAAACCAGCCGTGTTTAAATGGAAAATGTATCATTTGACTAGATTACCCACTGACGCAAACACTTACGATATAGACACTACATAAGTCTTCCAAAAAATTACTGTTTGGTTAAATCAGAAGACTATTTAATGTTTATGGAGCACCAGCAGACTGGATTGTCAGGTAAATTAGTGGTTGGACAGTTTGGAAAGCTAACTAGCCAATAACATTCCTCAGTACAGCAGTGTGAATGGAACAGAGAGAAAAGGGATAGAAGGTGTAGGGTGCGTTGATGTACGTACATACATACACAGATATATATATATATATATGGGTCATTGCAGCAGGCATTGAATCATGCTGAATGGCCAATTTCCTTTTTGTCAGGAAGTTAGTTAACTTCACATTTTCCCTAAGAAATATTTAGTTGAGCAAGAAGTGATAGTACAGTAAAGACACTTCATCTTCATGCATGCTCCCACACCCCCTCTCCATCCAAAAGACAGTTTATCTTTCATAGAAGACAAAGACATTGGGGGGGGTTACTAAAACTGGAGACTGCAAAATCTGGTGCAACTCTGCATAGAAACCAGTCAACTTCCAAGTTTTATTGTCAAAGCCTACTTGAACATGCTGAAGTTAGAAGCTAATTGGCTACCATGCACAGCTGCACCAGATTCTGAATGGTCCAGTTTTAGCAAATCTCCTCCAATGAGTTTACAGAAGTACAAATACATCAGATATATACGGTACAATGCATCAGTCTGACCCACCTCTTTGTGGAAAGCGATGGCCTCGTTGAAGTTGCCTAAGAGGTAGTGTGTGTTTCCGAGATTTCCATAAGCCCGACCCTGAGCAGCCCTGTCACCCAGCTGTTTCACCAGTTCCAAGTTCCTCCTGTGATACAGAAGTGCCAGCAATCATGAGAGCTCATGTAATGAAACATAATTACAATGTAGCAGGGTGAATATAAGGCTAATGCAGTAACTAACTCCAAAAAAACATTGTTTCACAAAAGCTATCCAAAAGGTTTTCTGAAAATATACCATTACAAAGATGTCTAGTCTGTTTTGGGCAGTATGTCAAATACTTGCCATAAAGGTGTCTATACAGATAAGAAAGACACTAGAGTTTGTTAAATACCATCTGATAACCTTCAAGAACCCCATCAAAAGCAGAGCATAGTTGCTTAATCAACAGAAAGCTGTATACTTGGCACTAATAAATGCTTTGCAGCCAGTAATATCCAAATAGCATTTTAAAATATTTTAATATTTTAAATAATTTTAACAAACTCAATTATGGGGTACAGGCAATTATTTGACATATAACCTGAAGCAAACCAAGATGCACACATTAAGTTTCTCCTGTTATACTGGGTGATGATATTGTTATCAGAGCGAGTGCAGTTGTTTCTGGGTCTCTACAGCAATGCTGACCACAACTTGACACCAGAGAGCTCCTAAGTCACCAGAAAACAGATTACAGATCAACTACACACCCAGAGAAGCCACTAAAGTCCTAGGTACTTGGTGTAAACATTAGAGAGTAAACTCTTCCGTGGTTGTAAAAATGATTGCATTTTATCTGCCAAGTATATGAGAACATGTCAGAGCTGTATAAATAATGAAAATCAATAACTTACACTGTTCAACAGGTAAAAAGTTTTGGGCATAAAATTAGCTAATCTTACATAATTTTGGGGGTGCTGAAAACGAAAATGACCCTAAAAAATGTTGTGATTGGCTCTAGTTTCCATGATATATTCACCCATCTAATGACGTAAGCCATTCAAAATTATGATGCAACTTCAGCTGCATATTGCGCAATTGATACTGGTGACCAATAGAAAATTGCATGTATACTGAGATGATGCAATATTAGCCTTTAATTGCATCACTTCACTGCATAAAAGCTGCAGTATCTAAAGCTGATTGTAGTTCGACAGCGTCTTTACATTTCGTTTTATGCTTATATAGGCTACTCAGTAATGCCTCGAACTTGTGTGAATAAAGCAGATAATTTCTGCTATATCTGCGGTGAAATAACTTTTATCTCACAAAAAAGGAGGATAACAGGAATGATTAAGAAAGCCTACAACTTGTATTTTGGCTGCAAGATAGGAGACCAGGACAAGAGCTGGGCACCACATATATGCTGCAATTCTTGTGGGACGGCACTGGAGCAATGGTTGAATGGAAAAAAGGCATCTATGCCTTTCGCTGTGCCAATGATTTGGAGAGAGCCAACAGATCATGTTAGTAATTGTTACTTTTGTATGGTGCCTCCAATTGTAAAAGGGCTAAATAAGAAGAAAAAGTTATCTGTGCACTATCCAAATATTCCATCAGCAATACGTCCAGTTCCTCATGGAGAGGGGCTACCAATTCCTAAAGCACCAGAATCCTTCGTGGTTGAGTCAAGTGAGGAAGAACCTGAAGCGTGTAGTCACGTGCAGTTGTAAGAGATAGCCCTTTCCTCGAATACAAGAGAAAAGCCAAGAAAAGCAAAACCGACACAAAATGAAGACAAAACTAGTGAGAATCCTAAGTATTAAAATGATTCAACTTAGCTTATGGCTATAATTTTTCTTGGTAATCCTATGCAATATATTATGCCATTTAGGCTTTGTTATGTAGTCAATATCACTTGCTTTATATTTGTGGAAAGACATCTATCTATATAATTATTGTGCATTATGTAGTCATTACGCCTATAGTAGAAAACTTTCCGTTTACAGAAAAACTAGAGCCAATTGACAAATTTCATTGTTATATTTGAACTCAGAATGTGAAATTCATTAAGAAATGGATCCTTTTGTTTCCAAAACTGGCAAAAAAATAAAAATTTGTTGAACAGTGTTATTAAACTTCCTTAATCTGATAATAGTATAATGTATAGGTACACTGTAATAAGAAATAATTTACACAGCCTGTTGCCATTCTTCACCTACATGTTTCCAGCAACAGGTCTGTTTCTCTCACTAATTACTTACCAGATAAGTAAAAGCATAGGCCAGTGATGGCGAACCCGTGGCACGCGTGCCACAGCCGGCACGCCGAGCCTCATCTGTGGGCACGCCAGGAGAATACCGTATTTTTCGCTCCATAAGACGCACTTTTTTTCCCCCAAAAAAGGGGGGAAAATGTCAGTGCGTCTTATGGAGCGAATATAGAGCGGCCGGTCCGGTATTTCCACCGCCGCCGTGTCAGAATACCGGGCCGGCCGCTCAGCTCTGCAGTGGGACCTTACCTGTCCCTCTATCCAGCGGCGCGCTGTCTTCCCGGCTTCTGTAGTGTGCGTGACAGCCGGGTCCCAAGTGCGCATGCGCAAGAAGCAGTGCTCTTTGTGAATGGTAAGGCGGTACCTGGGACACATGACAGATCCCAGAAGCCGCCGGACCAATCACAAAGCGCAGCGCTTCTCGCGCATGCGCACTGGGCATCCGGCTGTCCGACGAGCGCCCACACTACAGAAGCCGGGAAGACAGCGCGCGGCTGGATAAAGGAACAGGCAAGATAAAAAAAAAACTCTGCGGAAGTAAGAGCGGGTACCTGTCAAATTCAGGTACCTGCTCCCCCTCCCTCCCCAAAGGTCAGCAGTCATCTGTACTGTCCGCAGTCTCTGGTCATCCCTGTGCTGTCCGCAGTCTCTGGTCATCCCTGTGCTGTCCGCAGTCTCTGGTCATCTCCTGTGCTTTCCGCAGTCTCTGGTCATCTCCTGTGCTGTCCGCAGTCTCTGGTCATCTCCTGTACTGTCCGCAGTCTCTGGTCATCTCCTGTACTGTCCGCAGTCTCTGGTCATCTCTGTACTGTCCGCAGTCTCTGGTCATCTCCTGTACTGTCCGCAGTCTCTGGTCATCCCTGTACTGTGTCCGCAGTCTCTGGTCATCCCTGTACTGTGTCCGCAGTCTCTGGTCATCCCTGTACTGTGTCCGCAGTCTCTGGTCATCCCTGTACTGTGTCCGCAGTCTCTGGTCATCCCTGTACTGTGTCCGCAGTCTCTGGTCATCCCTGTACTGTGTCCGCAGTCTCTGGTCATCCCTGTACTGTGTCCGCAGTCTCTGGTCATCCCTGTACTGTTAATTAGTTTGCACTACTGTACGAGTTGTTTTTTCTAAACCAAAAGCTCGATATTCAGGTTTCATTGCAGTGTTGGCACTTTGAAAGAAATAAGTTGGTTTTGGGTTGCAGTTTGGGCACTCGGGCTCAAAAAGGTTTGCCATCACTGGCATAGGCGATCTCCTGAAAAATTGATGTTTCCAAACTGGTAATCAAGCAATTTTTTAAACCTTTTAGGAATTTTTAGTTTGATCAATTCAAATCTTAGTATGTTTTTGTACTTAGGTTGCCAATGTACTGTAAATAAAGTAATGTAATGCAAAGAAAGTATGGGAAATATGAAATAGTGGTTCACTAGGTAGTGAAGTCAGGATAAGGATGATACCAACAGACACAATGCTGGCAAGTTCCATATTGTATCCTCACTGGTTTCTGAACGTTTACCCCATGCACTGTTACACCTGACCACACAAGATGCAGCAGAGTCTTGGGGATGTATTATGGTCCATATAATCTCAAGGACCTACTACTCCTTCAAGCAGCAAATTGCTCATCATGGTGACATTAAAAGTGCACTAGTAGTTAGGACTGGCAGTGAATAGTAAAAACAATTGTCAGAAATTCAGTACTCACTCATAATACTCTGTAGCTTTCAGCAGTGTCTCCTTCACCTCCTCAGAGAGGTCTCCTGGAATCTGTGGCATGTTCCATGACAGCTGCTTCCCTTTGGCATGAAATACATTGCCAGCATTATACAATGCTCGTGCTTCACCCACCTGTAGGCCACAAAGGACAGAAAGATTAGGATGTGTTTGTAATTTTGCAAGTAGCTTTACCTGGGAAGCGGGAAGGGGAGTGGGACTGGAGTGTACGGGCTACAGTTTGCGTAGCTCTTATTTCCATACTGGCATTAAGCTTTTCCTTCTGTTTGCACAGACAAGTGATTTCCTACAGTTACAGTTATCAATGCCTGCAAAAACCCAAACCTCTCTAAAGCTTTTCCCACATGCAATGCAATATTAAAAAGAGGATAGCCATCATTGAATCATCTGACAAGAGTTCACATCCCACATATGAGAGTTTGTTTTAAATTATGATGATATGACCTGCATGTCTTGCCAAACTAGCCTATGCTGTATTGTTATTCATTGAAAGGTATTACGCAAAGTGTGTCTTTCATGTGATTGTTTATATTACAACATTTTCGATTACTGCCTTTTGTTTTGATGTGGTATGTTTAATATGTGAAATAAACATATATTCAACTTAAATTACGATGATCTGGTTAGATTTTCTGACTGTGTTGCAGCTGTAAAGTCTTCAGCTTTACAAGATGAAGACTGCAGCAGGAAAATGAACAATACTCACAAGACTGCAGCAGAAGCAAGATTTGCTGTCACCAGCAGAGAGAGTGTGAGAGTGTGTGTGTGTGTGTGTGTGTGTTTTTTCTGGGTAGGGGGCGCGCACGCACGTGCTGCCCTACCCGCGACGCCACTAGTGGCTAGGGATGTCAATCCCTGGGTCCCAGCCACACATTCCCCGCTGTCAGGAGAGAGACCTGTGTGTAAACACAGATCTCTCTCCTGCCAGCAAGCATATGCTGCTTTGTATTTCTCTGCACAACAGAGAAATACAAAGCAGCATGTCTCCCTAGTAAAACACACACATCACATAAAAAACAGCAGAGTTAACCCTTTGATTGCTCCATATGTTAACACCTTCCTGCCCAGTGTCATTAGTAGAGTGTCAGTGCTTTTATTATTAGCACTGATCACTGTATTAGTGTCATTGGGATGTAAGTGGCAGTTAGTTCCCACCCAGTGTTAGAAAGCCCGCCACAGTCCCGCAGTAAGTCGCTGATCGCCTCCATTATTAGTATAAAAAATTTTTTAAAAATTCCAGTTTATATACCGCCATTTGTAGATGCTATAACTTTCACGTAAACCAATTAATTTACATATTGGGATTTTTTTAAAGAAAAGATATTTAGCAGAATACATTTTGGCCTAAATTTATGAAGAAATTTGATTTTTTTAAAATTTTTTTCCTGGGTATGTTATATAGCAAAAAGAAAAAAATATATATTTTTTTCAAAATTGTCAGTTTTTTTTGTTTATAGCGCAAAAAATAAAACGCACAGGTGATCAAATACCACTGAAAGCAAGCTCTATTTGTGGGAGAAAAAGGACATAAATTTAATTTATGTAGAGCGTTGCATGACCACGCAATTGTCAGTTAAAGTAACGCAGTGCCGCATTGCAAAAAATGGCCAGGTCTGGTAGAGGGGTAAATCCTCTGGAGAGCAAGAGGATACCTTGTCCCCCTGCTCTTGCGAGATATCCAGGTGCCTCTGACAGCAGGCGATGGCCTCATCATACTGTCCCAGGACTTTGAGGGTGTTACCCAAGTTCCCGCTGGCTTTGGCTTCTCCAATACGATCTCCGATGGACCTACAACAAAAAGACATGTTATGTTACTGCTGAATAGCGATAATGTGATACAATGCTGCACTCATGACAATTCCCATCAACGTACTGTGTTTTTTCAAATAATGTGCCATATTAACCAAACAAATAGACTTGTTTCAGGTCTATTTGTACCACCCCCAACAGTTTCTATATCAAAGTGAATTAGCAACTAGCACAGGTCTGCACCTAACTAAACCTGTCATGTGAGGTGTGATGAGGGCACTGATGACTGTTAGACTGGAGCTTGCCTGTCATAGCAACAAATCTGATAATGGACTGCTACTAAAAAACAAAAGTGGGTTGTGCCCCTTTTGTTACTCATCAGCAGCATCTGCTTGTTCTCAGTATAGAAGACTTGTGCAAGCATTGTGCTTGCATGGGTCTGTTAATTCCCCCCATTATGTTATCTGCACAGGGTCAAGAAGTCTTAAGCAAAAACCGGGAGAAAAAAAAAAACAAATAAAAAACACACGTGTTATGTACCCATCCATGCATGTAAGTAGATTTTACATATATTTTTTCTGTTTATAGAGATAATATGAATATTTGTCACACTTGAGCGTAAGTGTCTGAAGAAGCAAGTGTTACCGAAAACACGTAATTTTCTGCCAACAAATGTAACTTATACACGATTGTGATGCATTTTATACATTTAAATCTGTATTTTTTATTGTTTTATTTTTTATGTATACACCGATAGGTCACCCTAGACTTCCCTGGTTTATTTTTTTCCTCTTTTTTGCATATTCTCACTTAGGGTGGTGACCTTCTGGTGTATATGTACACATTTCTTACCTCATATGCAGCCTCATTATATATCAGTTATAGACAGACAAGTGGCTCTATATTTAGGCTTTATTTATGCTGCAAACCACTGACTGAAGGAATAGTTGGATAAAATCTGGTTCTATAGTCTGTAGTATACTGTAGTGTAAAAATATGTACATATATATGTATGTGTGTGTATATATATATATATATATATATATATATATATAATATATATACACACATACACACACACACACACACACACACACACACACATACATATATACACACACACAGTATCTCACAGAAGTGAGTGCACCCCTCACATTTTTGTAAATATTTCATTCTATCTTTTCATGTGACAACACTGAAGAAATGACACTTTGCTACAATGTAAAGTAGTGAGTGTACAGCTTGTATAACAGTGTAAATTTACTGTCCCCTCAAAATAACTCAACACACAGCCATTAATGTCTAAACCACTGGCAACAAAAGTGAGTACACCCCTAAGTGAAAATGTTTAAATTGGGCCCAAAATGTCAATATTTTGTGTTGCCACCATTATTTTCCAGCACTGCCTTAATCCTCTTGGGCATGCAGTTCACCAGAGCTTCACAGGTTACCACTGGAGTCCTCTTCCACTCCTCCATGATGACATCACGGAGCTGGTGGATGTTAGAGACCTTGCTCTCCTCCACCTTCCATTTGAGGATGCCCCACAGATGCTCAATAGGGTTTAGGTTTGGAGACATGCTTGGCCAGTCCATCACCTTTACCCTCAACTTCTTTAGCAAGGCAGGTGTGTTTGGGGTTGTTATGTTGGAAAACTGCCCTGCGGTCCAGTATCTGAAGGGAGGGGATCATGCTCTGCTTCAGTATGTCACAGTACATGTTGGCATTCATGGTTCCCTCAATGAACTGTAGCTCCCCAGCGCCAGCAGCACTCATGCAGCCCCACCACCATGCTTGACTGTAGACAAAACACACTTGTCTTTGTACTCCTCACCTGGTTGCCGCCACACACGCTTGACACCATCTGAACCAAATAAGTTTATCTTGGTCTCATCAGACCACAGGACATGGTTCCAGTAATCTATGTCCTTAGTCTGCTTGTCTTCAGCAAACTGTTTGCAGGCTTTCTTGTGCACCATCTTTAGAAGAATCTTCCTTCTGGGACGACAGCCTTGCAGACCAATTTGATGCAGTGTGCGGCGTATGGTCTGAGCACTGACAGGCAGACCCCCCACCCCTTCAACCTCTGCAGCAATGCTGGCAGCACTCATACGTCTATTTCCCAAAGACAACCTCTGGATATGATGCTAAGCACGTGCACTCAACTTCTTTGATCGACCAGGGCAAGGCCTGTTCTGAGTTTAACCTGTCCTGTTAAACTGCTGTATGGTCTTGGCCACCGTGCTGCAGCTCAGTTTCAGGGTCTTGGCAATCTTCTTATAGCCTTGGCCATCTTTATGTAGAGCAACAATTCTTTGTTTAGATCCTCAGAGAGTTCTTTGCCATGAGGTGCCATGTTGAACGTCCAGTGACCAGTATGAGAGAGTGAGCGATAACACCAAATTTAGCACACCTGCTCCCCAGCCACACCTGAAACCTTGTAACACTAATGAGTCACATGACACCGGGGAGGGAAAATGGCTAATTGGGTCCAATTTGGACACTTTCACTTAGGGGTGTACTCAGATACTGGGCTGCAGGGCAGTTTTCCAACATAACAACCCCAAACACACCTGCCTTGCTAAAGAAGTTGAGAGTAAAGGTGATGGACTGGCCAAGCATGTCTCCAGACCTAAACTCTATTGAGCATCTGTGGGGCATCCTCAAATGGAAGGTGGACGAGCGCAAGGTCTCTAACATCCACCAGCTCCGTGATGTCGTCATGTAGGAGTGGAAGGGGACTCCAGTGGTAACCTGTGAAGCTCTGGTGAACTCCATGCCCAAGAGGATTAAGGCAGTGCTGGAAAATAATGGTGGCAACACAAAATATTGACACTTTGGGCCCAATTTGAACATTTTCACTTAGGGGTGTACTCACTTTTGTAGCCAGCGGTTTCGACATTAATGGCTGTGTGTTGAGTTATTTTGAGGGAACAGCAAATTTACACTGTTATACAAGCTGTACACTCACTACTTTACATTGTAGCAAAGTGTCATTTCTTCAGCATTGTCACATGAAAAGATATAATAAAATATTTTAAAAATGTGAGGGGTGCACTCACTTCTGCGAGATACTGTGTGTATGTATGTATGTATGTATGTATGTATGTATGTATATATACATACAACCTGAACAACTTAAGACCCATCTCCCTGCTGCCATTTACCTCTAAACTCCTAGAAAGCTTAGTCTACAATCGCCTGAGTTCCCACCTCACTGACAACAACCTTCTTGACCCTTTATAGCCTGGCTTTCGCTCACTACACTTCACTGAAACTGTCCTACTAAAACTCACGAATGATCTACTAACTGCTAAAACCAATGGCCACTACTCTGTACTCTTACTACTTGACCTCTCTGTGGCTTTTGATATGGTTGACCATCCCCTCCTCCTCAAAAAACTCCACTCTCTTGGCCTCCGAGACTCTGCTCTCTCCAGGTTCTCCTCCTACCTATCGCAGCGCTCCTTCAGCGTTACCTATAATGCTGCCTCCTCCTCTTCACTCCCTCTTTCTGTAGGGGTCCCTCAAGGTTCTGTCCTTGGACCTCTTCTCTTCTCCATCTACACCTCCTCTCTTGGTCACTTGATAAACTCCCATTGCTTTAAGTACCATCTCTATGCTGATGACACACAAATCTATCTTTCTACCCCTCACCTCACCCCTTCAGTTTCCTCTCGCATTACTAACCTACTAAGTGATATATCGGCATGGATGTCACTCCACTTCCTCAAACTCAATCTTTCCAAAACTGAGCTCTTAGTATTCCCCCCAGCCTGTGCCCTCTCCCCTGACTTCTCCATCAAGATCAGTAACACAATCATCAGTCCCTCCCCTCATGCCAGGGTACTAGGTGTAAGCCTAGACTCCCATCTGTCCTTTCAGTCCCAAATCCAATCACTGTCCAAATCTTCTAGACTTCACCTCCGCAACATCTCCAAGATACGCCCGTTCCTAACCTCGGAAACCACTAAGCAACTTATTCAATCCCTTGTTATATCTTGCCTTGACTATTGTAACTCCCTCCTCATTGGCCTATCTAATCGCAGGCTATCCCCTCTTCAGTCTATCATGAATGCTGCTGCCAGACTCATCCACCTTACTAACCGTTCTGTATCTGCCACCCCTCTCTGCCAATCCCTCCACTGGCTTCCCATTGCCCAACGGATAAAATTCAAAACATTAATAATAACGTATAAAGTCATTTATAACTCTGCCACAAATTACATCACCAATCTTGTCTACCCAAATTGTACTCTCCGCTCCTCGCAAGACCTCCTACTCTCCAGCTCCCTTGTCTCCTCCTCCCATGCACGTCTCCAGGACATCTCCAGAGATTCCCCCATCCTCTGGAACGCTCTACCCCAATTTATCAGACTATCGCCTACTCTGCTCACTTTTAGGCGATCTCTGAAAACCTATTTCTTCAGGGAAGCCTATCCTGCCCTCAGCTAATAATTGAATCTTCTACTCTTCCAACCAGTCCATCCCCCCAGAGTTACTACCTTTTGTACCACTAGCCCCTCCCTCCTAGATTGTAAGCTCCAAGGAGCAGGGCCCTCCAACCCTCTTGTATTGAACTGTATTGTTGCTGTATTGTCTCCCGTTATATTGTAAAGCGCTGAGCAAACGGTTGGCGCTATATAAATCCTGTATAATAATAATAAAAATAATAATATGAAGTATCTTAAATGGGACTCTGAAAGCTGCTGTTGGGCATGTTATTTGCCAATATTCTGTGGCCTGTTCTGGAATTCAATAAAATGTCTCTTTCTAAAAAACAACCATTGAACTTGTTGTTGTGGGAAAATTCATTTCCTTGGATAGAGGAGTTTTGCATTCCATACCGGCTAGCGAACTCTTGCCTGAACAACAATAATAATAATAATAATCATCACTCCTCATCTATGAAAATATAGTCTAGCTGCATCTGTGCTATAACCCAATGGTTCTGGAGGTGCAGTTGGATAAACTGCTCCATATTTAGGCTCTATCTGGGCTAAACACCAGCAGCACTGGCTGGACAGTTGGAAAACTGGCTGTGTATTTTTTCTGTACTAAACTATAAACTAGCAGTTTTGGATGGACAGTTGGATAAATGGCTCTATATTTAGGCTGTATCTGTGCTATACACCAGCAGGTCTAGGTGGACAGGTAATAAATGGTCCTATATTTAAGCTGTGTCTGGGCTATAAAGTAATTGATGGTGGATGAACTGATAGATATTGGCTCTATACTTAGGCTGTATTTGTGCTCTATACCAGCTATTCTGGATGGACAGTTGGATAACTAGCTTTGAAATCAAGGCTGTATCATTATTTAAAAACATCAGCTCTAGATGGACCATTGGCCACTGTGACAAGAAATAATTTGCATAGTTTTACAGTATTCAGTAAAGTGTATCTCTGAGGGAAGAAGTAGACCCTTTCTCAAGTTTTCATTAGTTTCTGTGTCCCTACTGGGGAGCTACACCACTCTGTACCAGTGATTGTTGTCACTGAAAAAGAAAGTGAGGGGAAATTCAAACTTTTGGAGTTTTTTCAGAGGAATCCTTTTAATGGGGGCAAATGTTTCGGGGACTACTGTCTAAGATAAATTCTCTCACTTTGTAAGATTTTCTCTAACTTCCTGCTGCGTATCCCACCTACGAAGCTGGGGGAAAGTTTCCCAATGGTAAACTGGTTATACATACACTTTATTGGGTAATAGACTTTTTTTGCCTCTGTGTTGAAAGAATGCAAAAAATACCTCCTGTTTTAAGAGGACAGTGCCGTTCTTCATATTAGTAGTTCCTCACTGTAATTGGCTATTGTAAACAACTGGAAAATGCTTAGCCAATAGCATGCACTCACCTGGCCAGGGTAAGATCATGTTTATGATACTCAAGTGCTTTAGCGTACTCCTTCAAGTAGAAGTATGCATTCCCCAGCTGACTATAGATGGCGCTAAGTGTCTTTAAATCTTCAGTCCCAACCTGGACAGCAGCTTCAAAGAAAGCGGCTCCGGCTTTGAAATCTCCGGCCTTGCACAGGCGCTCACCTTCTAATGCTAGCTCCAAGCAGGAGGCCTCCATCCTGGAAAACACACAGATGACCTTGTGAGACAATAGGATAATGACATATCTGAATAAATGGAATGAAAATGAAAAGTAGGCATTCAATAGGAGCCTGTTTTTACCTGGTTTAGACAAGCTGTGTCCCGTTATTCAGTTTACATTTTTTTTTATAGTAGACAGAGTGTGCCATCAATTCTTTATAAAGTCTTTCCAAACCCCATCCCTTTTTGCTCTCTGCCATTCTCTCTTGGTCAATATTTGTCTTCATGTATAAATAATGTATAAGCTATTTTATAAAACTGAAAATTTATGACAGGAAAGCGAGTTAAATAGATAAATTGTGACTAAAAATACAAGAAAAGGCCCTATGGGGTCAAAAGTCACATGTATCAGAAAGTTTGAGAGAGGTCAATCCTGACATTGACTGCAGAATGTAGAATTCATTTTCCAACTAACAAAAATCAGTGTGTCAAAAATAAAGCATGGTCAAGTAAAAATAAAATCAATTTTTTTTTTTTTTTAATTTAAGAAAAATAGTGTGTTTGCAAAGCTGAGACATGTTTATTGGAATGTCTGTTACAATGTGATAAACAAGTCGTATGTTACAATGGAGAAATGCCACTGCCATTTCTGTATACCTCATACTCTATGTAAATCACAGAAAACATTTTACTTATGTAACGGTATCAAGTGTAGTCTTGGGCTTGGCAAATATAGTATTACCATTAAATCCAGGTGTTAATTCCTCAAAAAAAAACAAAAAACATTTTAAATGCAGCTAGCTGAAGTATCTTAACCACTTGCTCTCCGGAAGTTTTACCCCCTTTCATGACCAGCCATTTTTTGCTGTTTGGCACTGCGCTATTTCATCTGGTAATTGCGCGGTTGTGTAATGCTGTACCCAAACAAAATTTATGTCTTTTTTTTTTCACACAAATAGAGCTTTCTTTTTGTGGTATTTGATCACCTCTGCGGTTTTTACTTTTTGCGCTATAAACAAAAAAAAGACAGAATTTTTTTTAAAAAAACAATATTTTTCACTTTTGGTTATAAAAAATATCCAATAAACTCAAATGTCATCATAGATTTAGGCTGAAATGTATTCTGCTACATGTCTTTGGTAAAAAAAAAAAAAAAAAATCCCAATACATGTATATTAATTGGTTTGTGTGAAAGCTAGAGCATCTACAAAAAATTATATATATATATATATATATATATATATATATACATATACATATATACATACATACACAGTGGGGCAAAAAAAGTATTTAGTCAGCCACCAATTGTGCAAGTTCTCCCACTTAAAAAGATGAGAGAGGCCTGTAATTGGCATCATAGGCAGACCTCAACTATGAGAGACAAAATGAGAAAAAAAATCCAGACAATCACATTGGCTGATTTGGAAAGAATGTATTTGCAAATTATGGTGGAAAATAAGTATTTGGTCAATATCAAAAGTTCATCTCAATACTTTGTTATATATCCTTTGTTGGCAATGACAGAGGTCAAACGTTTCCTGTAAGTCTTCACAAGGTTGGCACACACTGTTGCTGGTATGTTGGCCCATTCCTCCATGCAGATCTCCTCTAGAGCAGTGATGTTTTGGGGCTGTCGCTGGGCAACACGGACTTTCAACTCCCTCCAAAGGTTTTCTATGGGGTTGAGATCTGGAGACTGGCTAGGCCACTCCGGGACCTTAAAATGCTTCTTACAAAGCCACTCCTTCATTGCCCGGGGCGGTATGTTTGGGATCATTGTCATGTTGGAAGACCCAGCCACGTTTCATCTTCAATGCCCTTGCTGATGGAAGGAGGTTTGCACTCAAAATCTCACGATACATGGCCCCATTCATTCTGTCCTGTACATGGATCAGTCGTCCTGGTCCCTTTGCGGAGAAACAGCCCCAAAGCATGATGTTGCCACCCCCATGCTTCACAGTAGGTATGGTGTTCTTTGGATGCAACTCCGCATTCTCTCTCCTCCAAACACGACGGGTTGTGTTTCTACCAAACAGTTCTATTTTGGTTTCATCTGACCATATGGACATTCTCCCAATCCTCTTCTGGATCATCCAAATGCTCTCTAGCAAACTTCAGATGGGCCCGGACATGTACTGGCTTAAGCAGGGGGACACGTCTGGCACTGCAGGATCTGAGTCCCTGGCGGCGTAGTGTGTTACTGATGGTAGCCTTTGTTACGTTGGTCCAAGCTCTCTGCAGGTCATTCACTAGGTCCCCCCCCGTGTGGTCCTGGGATTTTTGCTCACCTTTCTTGTGATCATTTTGACCCCACGGGGTGAGATCTTGCGTGGAGCCCCAGATCGAGGGAGATTATCAGTGGTCTTGTATGTCTTCCATTTTCTAATTATTGCTCCCACAGTTCATTTGTTCACACCAAGCTGCTTGCCTATTGCAGATTCAGTCTTCCCAGCCTGGTGCAGGTCTACAATTTTGTTTCTGGTGTCCTCTGACAGCTCTTTGGTCTTCACCATAGTGGAGTTTGGAGTATGACTGTTTGAGGTTGTGGACAGGTGTCTTTTATACTGATAACAAGTTCAAACAGGTGCCATTGATACAGGTAATGAGTGCAGGACAGAGGAGCCTCTTAAAGAAGAAGGTACAGGTCTGTGAGAGCCAGAAATCTTGCTTGTTTGTAGGTGACCAAATACTTATTTTCCACCATAATTTGCAAATAAATTCTTTCCAAATCAGCCTATGTGATTGTCTGGATTTTGTTTCTCATTTTGTCTCTCATAGTTGAGGTCTGCCTATGATGCCAATTACAGGCCTCTCTCATCTTTTTAAGTGGGAGAACTTGCACAACTGGTGGCTGACTAAATACTTTTTTGCCCCACTGTATATGTATATATATATATATATATATATATATATATATATGCTGGAATTTCCACAGCTTTTACTTTCTGACTGCCTATCACATTTCTTGAGGTGCTAAAATGCCAGGGCAGCAGAAAACCCTCCTTTGGAAAGTAGAGACCCCAAGGATTTTGCAGAAAGGCATGTTGAGTTTATTTTATTTTCGCAACAAATTTTTCGAAAATGACAAATTTTTTTTTATTACACAAAGGTGTCACTTAAATGATATATTGCTCATGCATGCCATGTGTCTATGTGGAATAACACCCCAAAGCACATTCTTCTACTTCTCCCACCTAGCTACATACAGGCCCTCAAAAATCCAATGACCACCTCTAGGTTTTCAAAGGGCATATTTCCTCATCAAGGATGTTGAATTCCTATCGCCCGACGTCCGGGACATGTAGTTCCGGGCTTTGGGCAGGTAGTTTTGTTCTACCTTTAGCCCTGCTGTGGGCAAGCAGCAAGGCTCACCTGCCGGGTGGAAGCATTCTGCGCGGCTGCGCTGCCAGCGATAGCTTCCACACAGTGCCAGCCTCTCCGCGCCCCCAGGTTTCTTAGGCTCCGCTTGCCCATCTGCGGGCCCGGCACGCTGTTGGCTAGAGGGGAGGGAGAAGAGCGGACCAGTCTACTCCCCACTCCTTCTTGTGCTGACCCGGAAGTGACGTTATGCCCCCAGGTCCCCATTGTAATGCAATCCCTGGGAAAGAATTTAATATAGTGCGATGTGCACCACATTACATTCAGTGGAGCGGAGGGGAGACATGCAGGGTCTTTTAGACCTTGGATGTCTCAAACAGAACCTGTCACCAAAAATATTTTTTTATTGTAAAAAAAAAAAAAAATGAAAGTTACACCCAAGCACATGAAACCCCCCCCCCCCCCCAAAAAAATAAACAAATGAGGCCTCCTCCCACACATATACGCACATACAAACTTAAAAGCACACACTGGGGTGCCTACGCATGAATCCGCCGATTGCGATACACATGTCACATATCGCCGCACATGCCAGAATAAGAGCAATAATTCTAGTACCAGACCTCCTCTGTAACAATAAACTGGTGACCTATAAAGAGCTCTAAATGTGTCGACCTCTAGAAAATATAGGGTATTGAAGTTCGTCGCCATTTCACGAGCGACCACAAATTTAAGATTTGACAAGTTGGATATCCATTTACTCGCTGCAACCTCATCTTTAAAATTTTACAAAAAAAATAGGGTAATTTATTGCTATTTTGTGCCCTAAAATTAACTACTAAAGGTTTGCGGTAAAATCATGCGACATAAAAAATTGGAACTACCACTATTTTATTCTCTAGGGTCTCTGCTTTCAGAAAATACATAATGTTTGGGGGGTTTATTTAATCTTCAGGCCGAAAATGATTTTTTTTTAATGTGTGCAAAAAACACAAAACCAGCTCTGACAGCGAGAGAGGTAAGAATCCTGACCCACCCTTTACTGACGAGCAGCCAATCGTTCATCACACTGCAAGGTTTCTCCCCACCCTGCTAGTCCCCGAACGGTGCTGGAGAGAGGCAGGGAGGGGAGGAGGAGATAAACAGCGCGCAATGTTAAAAATATTACATGTTTAAGTTGCCACAAAACCTCTTTTGTTTTTTTAAAAGTCCAGACATTCCTAAAATCCCCTCCGATTTAAATACAATTTTGGTTAAAAAAAACTTTTTTTTATCTTGACATTGGGGCCCTGATTTAGTCCCTGGACAAGTAGTTTTTTAAAAAATTTCCACACCCCTACTCATATCACTTCCACACACACTACCTTTCAGTTTCAGAGGCTCTAAAATGCCACGATCGTACAAACACCCCCAAATTACCCCTTTTTGGAAAGTAGACACCCCAAGGAATTTGGTTAAGAGGCATGGTGATTATTTTACAGATATCATTTTCGTCACAGGGTTTTGAAAAAGAAAAAAAAAAAAGAAAAGAAAAATACATTTTTGTTTTCTTTCTTAGTTTTCTCTATAACGCACTAGACACCGCAATGCACTGTATAATAACACAGTGGACACCCCAATGCACTACAGGTAAAACTCGAAAAAATAGAATATCGTGGAAAAGTTCATTTATTTCAGTAATGCAACTTAAAAGGTGATTTGGGGAGCCATGTCATCTGCTGGTGTTG